GTGAGAGAGAGAAAAAAAGGGTGAACCGAGGAAAGGATTGACACGAGGAAAGGGTTGTTGGGTTATACGTGTTGGATAGGGTTGTTGGAAAAAAAAAAGAAATAGAAAAAAAAACAAAATATAAAGCAAAAAAAAAAAAGGAAACTACGACAAACATTTAATTTTACGATTATCAAACAATCCGAGTCACGTTTAAAAATATATATATAACACTTTTTTACGAGTAGTCTTTTCTCTCTCTCTCTCTCTCTCACTCTTGTATCATCGTGAAACATTAATAAGACAAATTACGTGGCGTTGAAAAAGAAAAAAAAACAGAAGATTACGTAAGCATGATCAACGTCGTTTAAGTTGGTAGAAGAATCGTGTTACCTTTTTCAACGAATTATCAAACGCGTTTATTTATACTATTACGATATTACGTCAAGGTCGAGTTTATTGTGCATACTTATTATTATTCCCATTTTGTTTTGTTTTTTTTTTTTATTGGAACACGCGTAATAACGTAATAGGTTTATTAATCATTCTGTTTTTAAATTACTAGAACTCAAATTATGGATATTACTTTTGTGTGACATTTTTCAAAGTGAATTTTGATTTATTTCTAGATAAATTTTATAAATTAAATATATCGATTTTTGTATTCCTTTTCACAATGCAACCCTTCCTCCCACTTTTTCTTCTTCTTTTTCTTCTGTAGATGTATTATGTATCGTTAATGGAGAAGAAATTGAAGAATGGTGGTGAAAGGATACACATAGTGAAAGTATCGGTCATTATTTTTATTGCTTTTATTATTTTCTTTTGTTTGTTTGTTTGTTTATTTTTCTTTAGTTTTTTTTTTCTATCTCAAATAAAGCAAATAAATGTGATGAGGATTGTTCCTGGCATAAAAAAAAAAAAGTTAATGAAACACAGGGATATTTAGTTTAATAATATAAGAGTCCTATACACCACCCTCACATTCCCATCTTATTTCAAATGTTTTCTGATATTAGGAGAATAATCACAAGAAATCTAATTGATCATTAACACATACAATGAATCAATAACATCAGTTTAAGAACAATGTGTGTACTATGTTTTTTTTTAATTTAATTATTATAAATTATATCTGAA